CAAAAAATAGAAAGTGACTCACTGAGTTACCTCCAAATTAATAATCAAAATTCCACAAAAAATATAAAGATTTCAAAAAATATAAAAAATCTTTAAATCCTCAATTTCGTCATCGACAGGGTTTACTTTCAAAAGATTTTTGACTAATAAATCGAATACGGGGTTATTTATTTATGGGGAATTTTAATTAAATCTTTAATTAAATCTTTTAATTTTTCGGTTTTATATTTTTATGCAGCCGATTAATTTTAAGCAAAAAAAGAAAAACTTTTTGGTTTAAAAAATAATTTTGAAATCTAAATATAAAATAAAACTTTAATAATTTACTAACAGATTGTACTAATATCTTTGGAGGTCTGTGTATTAAAGATGATACCGTGGAGGAGGAGGATAGCGTGCCTTATAGTATTTTATCACATAATGATGCAAATGACCCTGGTAAAATTTTATTTGGGGTTTTAATTACGATATTTAAAGGGAGGATTTTCAGGAACCAATAAAACCAAGATAGGTGCGTAAAATTGCGATAGAAAATAAATAATGCTTGTTTGCGCAAAAGGCAAAACGCAACGCCAAAAATCAACGCAAAGATGGGAATAATTATAAAAGCGGTTCCAGACCGGAACCCGAAATTTTGTAATTTCCGCATCACTGCTTATTAGCCATTCTTCAAATAAAAATTCAAGTATCACTAAATGTCTCGAATCCTACTCGAAATACTATAAGGGTTTGAATGGATAATGATTACAAGGGGATTACGAAGGATATTGAGGATTTAGTGGTCAAGGAGATTAATCGAGATAGCGGGGATTCCAGAGAATATCATAGGATTTGGAAGGATCGAGGAGCCCCATCTCGAGTCATAACGAACAAATTCTGGCAGTTTTCCTAAACCATTTAATTTTTAATCAAAATTAAGCAACCTATCAGACTCCACGAAATTTTCCTCCTCGTACTAAAGGAAAAGGAAAGGGTAAAACCCATAAAGGAAAATAGTAAAATTGAGAAGTGAAGTTAGAAGAGGAAAATATTCAAATTGAAAAGCTTCTAATGATTATATATTTAATTTAGTTTTTTAGATTTATTTTGAGTAAGATAAATACTTCCTCTAAAATAATATAAGGATACATATTATTTTATACACACTGTTAACTAATTATACGCACCCCCTATTTTTTGGGTTTTTCAAACTGAAAATGGAATGTGGCTTTCTAGTTTTTTGTGTATTAAATCTGCAAGTTAAAAGCCATCTAATGGGTTGACCCAAAAAGAATGAGCCCTTTATGGATAATGCAATCCGAGTGTTTGATAAATGTGGCACGTGTTGCATTTGCACGGTGTGAAGGCGCGTTGTCCTGATGGAAAAACAACTTGGCCTTGAAGTCGTCCCTGAACTGTGATACATTAATGTACGATCGAACATCTCAATTAAGTTCAGTGCCCCTAGGAGTACAATTCCAAATCTAGCCCAAAAAGAGGGCTCATTCTTTTTGGGTCAACCCATTATTATCATAAAAATTTTAAATTTAAAAATTTTCTTTTCAGACATTTATTTTTCCAGCAGAAAATTTTTATTAAATTGAAAATAAATTATGTTTAATTTCTGATTATAAGTTAAAATAAATTTAAATTTCAAATCAGCGGGGTTCAACCCTATGTTAATTATTTTTTAGAGTGAATTATTATTATTTTGGAGGAATGTATTAGACCTTAGATTTGTAAATATTTTATTATTAACCATTTATTATTAACCACATTATTTAGATATATTATCTATTATTCAAAATTTCGACATATTGTCCATAAAAATTTTTTTTACAAATGTAGATTTAGAATAAATATATTTTAATTTATAAATGTTACAAATTAAAAATTATATACAATTAAATAATTTTTTGTTTTAATTATTATACCGTAAATGCTGAAATAATTACACTTTCTCAAATAATTACCCTCTATAATAATTACCCTTTCTCTAATAATTACCCCCTAGTTATACTATCAAATTTACTTATTGGAACATTTTAAGACAATATCAAAAAATAAATCAATTTCGGGTACTTTATTGATATATCACCCCCCCCCCCATTTTTGAGTCTCAGAGTCTTCATTAATATGTAATAAAATCCAATGAAATTGAAGCAAATAAGGAAAACTAATTTTTTATTTATTTGAATAGTAATCATTTGAATACGCCACAGTAAAATGGAGTGAATTAATGGAAGGAAGAAAGGCTGACCATTATTACATAAAACTTTGAGACTCAAAATGGGGGGGGGGGTGATATATACATAAAGTACCCAATTTCGCCTCAATTGACCCTAAATCAGCACATCTTCTCTAATAATTACTCCCTCCAGCGAGAGATTAAAACAATAATGATCCAGGGTAATTATTTCAGCATCTACGATATTTATTATCGTAGTGTGCCAAAGGTAAACAACAGTTTAGATCATTAATTTAAGGAGAGTTTCTGCCTACCCCACCCCCCCCCCCAAATAACATCATTTTGATCACAACTTTTGCATTTAATAGAGAGATCCGATATTTTATTGAAATTTATAACTGGTTGCATTTCTCTGAAATTTTAAATAATTATTCTTTTGAGAGAAAATTAATTTTGAAGTTCTAAAAATTAGTTCTACAAAAATATTTTTCCAATAATTATTGCCTCTCGTTGGATGTATATTTTTATCAAATAGCAATTATTACAGCAAATTCGATAACTTTAAACAAAGTTATAGCTCTGCGATACCTTTGCCTTGTAGTACCTTGGGGTGTACGCGACGGGACAAAACTAGAGCTCGACCAGAAATCTCAGTTATTGTGTTCGTTATACATATCTCGGGATATCGTTTGCTTCTCGTCAATTCTCAGTCAATTATCCCTATCTCATTGACAGAGCTTCCTCTAAATTAAACACTGTTATTTCCAACTTAACATACCAATAATACAATAAAATATGAAAAATATTTTCCAAACTTTTGCTTTGTCTTTATTTTCACAAATATTCCTGAATAATATACAAACAATATTGTTTACTCTTTTTTAAATTTAAATATATACGTATCAATTCAAAGAAACATTTTTATCAATTATCAAAAAAATATTTTTTTATTATTTTGAAAACCAAAAAAATCCCGAATCAATTTCCCTTTTATTCTCTAAAAATATAAATACTTAATGGTATTTAATTCCTTTTTAATTATTCGATCAAGTAGAAGATTTTTCCAGAGATGGATTACTTTTAAAAACAAAATTTCATGGTATCTTGAAATTAATTACCGTAAATACTCTAATTGAAGCCCAGCCTCTTGTATAAGCCCACCTATAGTTCTAGCCCATCTGAGGAGACCCATTGAAAAATATAAGCCCAGGGCTTCAATTAGAGTATTTACGGTATATCAATTTATGATGGAAGTAGTTAAAGCCCAAAATTGCAATACCATAAGTAAACCCTTAAAAACGCCCTCCAACTGTTTTACGCTTTTTTGTCTTAATTATCGTAACGACTGTTCAATAACTGAATAAATGTCTCCCTGGATTTAAGCACCCTCTTCGACATGATGTTGAAAAAATTACCTTTGGTATGTGTTATTCCAGAAAATAAGCTAAACGTGAGAATATCTACATACTGTATAACATGTATTAATTGCCCTCCCTCAAATAATTACCCACTTCCATTAATTACCCCATCCAGCAATGGTTGAAACAATAATTACCCCTCAATATTAACTGCCATTGTAATTAGAAGGCAAAGTTTAATGTTGAGTGGGTCTAAATTAGAATGATCTACCTTATTTAATTATATATAGGATATTTCAGACCTGCTCACGGATACTGATTTTGGTATCCGTATCCGCAGGCATTTTGATATTATCTGTATCCATATCCGTGCTCATGAACAGGTCTGGGATATTTCATTCAATAAAAATTGCCTAATATTTTAAAATTTTCAATAATTAAAGGAATCCTTTCTTTCGTTTGATCCGTATATTTTTGGCGGTAGCAATTTGTTTTGTTGTTATATGGCTTTTGTTAAAATTTCAAAACGTCCCATTGCCTAAACTACATGAATTACCTCAAATATTAACTAACAAAACTTTTGATAGAAATGGAAGAAATTTGACTGATTTTACATTGGCTTTCTCTAATGTTCAAAAACACTATAAAATGGAAAAGCCAAGAATTAATCCTTGTATTGGAAAACAAATAGAGCTTGTTGTGTTGGTTATTAGTAGACGAGAATTGGTTCATAGACGTATGGGAATTAGGAATAGTTGGGCTAAAGACGCGGTAAAAAATATTTTAAATTATTTGTTCGACCAAATCCATTCACTAATGAGACTATTTTGTGTTGCACATGAAAAGCAAACATAGTAGAAAAAAGTATAAAACAAACATAAAAGCAAACAAACGACAACAAACAAACATAAAAAAGTTCCTTTTTGGGATTGATTACTAGTTGTTATCAAAATTTAAAAAGTTTTTGAGAAATTCTTTTAAATAATAACAGGTTTTGAATAGAAATCCATTATGAAAATGACCTCTTTTGGTCCTGTAAAGCATATAGCTATTTAATTCCTAAGGCTAAGAAGTAGGCGGCGTAGTGTAATGGCTAACACATCAGTCCGGTCTACTGAAGATGCTGGTTCGCTCCCAGCCGCCGATTAACCTTTTGCACTAGTTAAGGAGAGAAATTGCTATAGCCCAGCTGCTTTACTGTCCTTTGATACCGTTCACTATAGAGGGATAATTAATTTTAGTATAGGGAGTAGTGTTATTCACGGTACCGTATTACGGCGGTATTTTTCGGTAATACCGCCGTATTTTTACCGAAATACCGATACCGAATACGGTACCGAACAATTTTTAAAAAATCGGTATTTTTTCGGTATCGGTATTTTACCGAAAATACCAATACCAATACCGAAAAATCGCGTTTGAATAACACTAATAGGGAGTTCACAATAAGGATTGAATTTAAATAATAAAATTTTAAGAGTAAAAAAATGATAATACGTTATGTGATTGGAGGTCCTTCGGAGGACGAGGAGAATAGTGAAAAATTAGATAAAATATTGGATGAAGAACAAGAACAATTTGGTGATTTGATTCGTTACTATAATATAATGGAAGGCTACCATTTTTTGCAGTTTAAGGTATTTTGTTTATTAAGATAACAATGTATAGATAGCAATGTCATATTATTTCCCTCGCAACTTTTGCGGCCCGTATACTTGCGGCTCGCCCCCATTTTGACACTTGTGGTCCAACACTTGCGGCTATGAAATTTTCGGCGCAGACATTTGCGGCTATCAACTTGAGGCCCAGACTATTGCGGTTTTGACATTTGAGGTTCCTCCTATTGTTACCCCCCATTTGAGGTTCCCCCCTTTGCGGCCCCAACATTTGCGGACCTGACATTTGCAGCCATGATTAAAAAATTAAGTAAATTAAAATAAATAATACTAATTTATCGTTCAATAAATCAAGTGTATTCTCCAAGTTTATTCTCCTTGGCATCATAATCCGGATACTTGAGATTTTAATGGTTCCAGGAATTAATTAAGAAACCTCCAAGTTTTCTGAAACTGGGTTTCTATTGACGTTTTCCTGAACTACGTTTCCTAAACCCAAAATTCACTGAACAATGTATAAATCGGGAAGTCGTTATAACGTATAAAAATATTTTGTACATATTTATTAGACAGGTGTTGCTTTTCAATGGCAACAAAAATGGTGCACTAATGCAGAATATGTAATGAAAATTGATGATGATACTATCATTGATTTGCCTCGTTGGGCATTCTGGAATGAAAACAAATTTAAAAAACAATTGAATAAAACAAGAACTGGCCTAGCATTTTTTGGATATTTAATAGATGAATCACCTACAATAAGGGATAAAACGAATAAATGGTACTTATCGGCACAGATTTGTTTTGTGTGATGTAAACGATGTCGGATTAATTCAAAAAACTGCAGAGAAAACTATATCTCTGGGACTGAATTCCACAAAATCCAGTAAATGATACTGTCCCGTTCCGACTTTAAATCCTTAGCAGCAACCCTATATTTTATAATGAATACTCGAGTGATTAATATTATGTCCTAAGGTAGCGCCCTTACCTAGTGACTAACAGTATAACACAGGAATAGAATAACACGTTTATCCGAATAGTAAATACAAGAATAAAGTGAGAATAACTAAGTACAGGCGGCGACGGTCGGCCGAGGTGACGAAGAGACTGATCTCTACGGACTGCTTTTATACTAGACCCACACATACCTAACAATTAATTAAATTATTTCAGGTATGTATCTGAAAAGGAAATCCCAATGGAGATGTACCCAGAATATATGCACGGTTCTACCTACTTTGGAAACAGTAAAGCGATCACTTCTTTAATGAGACACACTAAAGAAGTGTTTGCTATTCATATTGAAGATGCTTTATATACTGGAATATTAGCTGAAAAAGGAAATGTTTCTCGCTATGATCATGCAGATAAACATTTTCGAGTTGGAGATGTTTGTTTATTTTTAATAAAATTAAATCTCGATTTCACTCTTGGCCCGTACAATAAATTCATGTTTTGGGTTATTTAACCCTTACCCGAGGGTTAAATAACCCTCAACTCGGGATAAAAAAATGTATATTGTGCGGATTTACCCGGAGTTGAGGGTTATTTAACCCGTACAAATAACCCCGATTTTATTGTACGGGCCCTTAATGCTAAAAATATTTAATCTAAAATCGAGTTTATTTCATTATTGGGGTAATTCCATAGGCGGCTCAGTCCAACCCTTTATTCCAACAATTTTATAATAAATCCATTGCTGTGGATCTACTTTGTTTGAAAAATTAATTTTCGACTTTAACTTCAAAAAAAAAATTTTTTAGTTGGAGAAAGACGAGCCATGTAAACTTGGAAAGCCTCAAATTTTCTGTTTATATCAAAGAACATTTTCAAGTAGTGCTGAATATAGAGACGAATATAAAAAGTTACATAATTTAGAATGTTGATTGTTTATAAAGTTTATATATACCTATATTTATAATTATTGTTTATAAAAGTTTTACAAGATAATATTTAAAGCATAGATGGGTAATTAAATGACACCCAGACTTTTTTCGATCCCTACCCCGACGAGAATTTTTGCATGGATGGGTAACAAAGGATAAAATAGATTCATTAAGAATCTATTTTAATAGAAACAAAGGATAAAAAATACATACCATTCGATTAGTCTCGATAAGCTTAATCGAACGCTACATATGACTTCGGGTTCGACCTTATTTAAATTGGCTCCGTTACCAATATTTTTCGGAGCCGCTTCATTTCAACCATACAGACGAAAAACAGAAAATTGCGGCAAAAATTTCTCAGAAAGGTCAAAAGACGGCAAAATACATTGTGTAAATTTTCACTATTCCCCACAATGGTATAGTGACGCGGAATGCGGGAAATCCGTACTGCTGGGGGCTCTACTTTTAACAATATTAGACTGACAATAAATTTTATTATAATGAAATGTTAGGTATTCCATGAACAATCCAAAATTGACTATGTATACATAAAACATATTTATTCTAACACCAAAAATCACAGCCGATAATTAAATTAAAAAATCTTTAATCAAAAGAAATTTTTTTCTCTTTTATACACCTTTTGAACTAGCAGAGTTTGAATGTTTAACAGTTAACGCTTCCAATCTCCCACTTATTTCTGCTTTTAATCCTTCAATTGGATCTTGAAAAACTCCAAAATTTTCGCAAACTAGAAGACCTAAATTTAAAAAAATTTTTAATTTTCGAAAAAATTTTTTTCAAACAATTTTTCAGTGATTCTTGTATAACTTCCGCTAGCAAATCGCTGCAAGCATTTTCTTCCAAAAATTGGTCCATTAAATCAAAAAGGCGTAGGAACAAATCGGGGAAGGATTTTAAACTATTTTTAAAAAATATTTAAAAATAATTTCTTTGAAACACCTCGTAATTTTTGTAAGATTCCCCAAAAGTACTTTACAAGCAAGTTGAATCGCTCGAATTCTTGCCTCTTCCATTCCAATTGGATCCATAGGGGAAATCGGTGGGCTACTAAATTGGTAAAAGAAAGAATTTAACAGGGGTGACGCTCGTCTCGTATCTAGCGAATCTCGTGTCTCGTATTTTATGACACTTGCGCCACCCCTAATATTTAAGTATAAACCTCTATATAATGAACAGACCCTTCGGAATCTTCCATAGTTTATTTCCGGGCCTAACCTAAACACCGACATGTTTGCTCCCGAAAGTGGAGGCTGCTACGATAGTTTATTTAATTATACCCCAGGTATTTAATTGGTGGGCTACCCCCCCCCTATCAATATTCCAATATTCCCTATTGATAGTTAAAAAATTTTTAAGGGGCCAAGAGATAAAAATATTAAGAGCTCAAACATTTTATTTTTAGTATTAAATCAGACAAAAAAATTAATTTTTACCCAGTAAGTAATCGACTCAACAAAGGGAAGAGAACTTCAGCAAAGCAATCTTCCCAATCGGCAGGGATCATAAGTTCACCCAATGCAGGTACTCGAAATGCAGTCTAAAAAGAATAAATATTTTTGGAGTTTTAACTAGGTCTTGATGTCTTAACTAGGCATAAGTAAAATGCCAAACGACAATGCACAGGGCCGGGCACTATTTACAATTTAATAATTTCTCCTTATTTGTAATTACCCCTAGAGCCTCCAATGCCTGTTTCCTTATTAATCGTCTACAATCACAAGCCATTCTGGCAATTGCTTGCATTAATGGCCTCCAATATTTTGACCACAATTCTGTCGTTTTTGTAGCTGTTTCATCAATTTTTACACTTTCATTTGTTTCAGACCAGTCTTTGTAAATGTTTGCTGCTCTAGCTTGGAGTTGTGCACAGATGTTTAATAACTTTAAATAAGAGATTTAAAAAGAATTTTTAATTTTTAAATATTTTGAGAAAAATCTAGGTTGATTATATACAGTAAGAGCGAGGTAAAAGTTTAATCCCGGACAGACTTCGCTCACCACGTACAGGTGATCTACCAACTAAGCTACCGGGACGCTGCTTTCACCTTATCTTTTAATAGATCTTAAACCCCCGCCTAGTGAGCGTTTTAAATGCTTGCCAGCTGGGTCTTTCTCTTCCTTAAAATACCTACGAGGAAGGGCAAGGAATTCGGATGAGGGACAAAAACAAAGGTTTTAGTGGCTGATTGCTTCTCTTTGTTAATTTAGAGAAGCAATCAACAAAAGATGACCCCAACATGCTTATCGAGAAACACATTTCGAAACTTAATTATTCAACTTGTATTGTATCTAATGCTTTTTCGGTTCTAATAAACGTTATCTTGGGAGTGAAACCGCTATAAAGCTGTAAGGCCTAGGTACACCACAAAATTTGGGAAAATATAGGCTCGAAAAGTATGTAGAAATTTTTCACTTGCAAAGAAGCATCAACATAACAATTAGCTAATTTTTCTTGATCACTCATTTTCTCTTCTGATTCAGTTAAACCCCCACTAGCATCCTCATTTGTTTTGCGTTGTTTTTGAGAATTTTCATGGGGAACATGGAATTGTTTTGAAGTATTTGAAGAGGAATTTCCGGTTTGTTTATTTGGAGAAGTGGGGGAAGTTATAGTTAATGATTGGATAGGTGTTGTGTATCTGGAAATTTAAAATATTTTGAAGAATCTAGATAAGGCGTCAATATCAGAACCAAGGATGGAGCAGGTTACAGGAACCAAGAGAACCGCTCCACCCCTTATCACGACCGCCGAATCAAGCCCCAACATAATGAGAGTAAGAGCGAGGTAAAAGTTTAATCCCGGCCAGGCCTCGATCCTGAGACCATTGCTAGACGCGTTGCTCACCACGTACAGGTGCTCTACCGACTGAGCCACCTTCTCTTTTAATAGATCTTAAACCCCCGCCTAGTGAGCGTTTTAAATGCTAGCCAGCTGGATCTTTCTCTTTCTTACATGAGGAGAATTTAAAACAAACTTTCCCCCATCCATACTAGCTTCTACCATCATTCTTAAACAATGAATAAATAATCCAAAATTTTCAGGTGTGATATGAGCAGCATCTCTCCCCAAAAATCCAAGTGTTTCAACAACTTTGAGGAATGCTGCAGAATCGTGACGGGATAAATTTGGAGCTAATACAAGTGTTCCACGTTTGTATAGAGAAGAGCCGCTTGCATAGCTTGAGGATTTTTCTGAAGGTGGGGGTTGTTGTAAAGGTTGCTGAGAAGTTAAAGGAGCTGGAGGAGAAGAAGATACTGGATGGATAATCTAAAAATTTTGTTTTAAATTAGTTTAAGGCTGTGCAGTAGGCGCGTGGTGTAATGGATAACATATCAGTCCGGTCTACTTTTGCACTAGCTGAAGGAGAAAAATAGCTATAAGCCTAGCTGCTTTACCTTAGTTCGGCAAATGTCCAGTTGGCTGTCTACCTGTCCGCAAAGAGAATCTGCTCTTTTCTTTCCTTTTCTTGCATTTTTTGCGCTGGGAGAAGTGCACCCCCTCATTTTCCGTTTTCAGGATTTTTCCTTCTCAATACCGTATGTATTCCTTTTCCTACTTGCAAAATAAATTTTAAAAATTTTAAAAGAATTTAAAAATATTTTAAAAAATATATTTATTTTACAAATAATTAATAAATAAAAAATACCCCGTAAATACTCTAATTGAAGCCCTGGGCTTATATTTTTCAATGGGTCTCCTTAGATGGACTTATATTAGAGGTGGGCTTCTACAAGAGTTGGGCTTCGATTAGTTAAATATGCCCCTTTGATTTAAATATGCCCATTTGATATATACCCCCTTTGATATATTTTGGTTTATTTTTATAATTTTAATCTATTTTCAAATAATTCCTCAGTAGAAAAATTCTGGACCCCATTGTTCGACGATCAAACTCTTGATCAAAAACTTGATCAAAGAAAACCCCCTATTACTAGCTATTGAATATCTACATGGTTCCCAATTGTGCCATTTGAGAATGTTATTCAAAATTAATTATTTGTAAAATAAATACAGTAGTCGACAAAAAGATAGGGACAAACGCAAGCAAAATGAAAATCACCTATTTTCTCGGTTAGAAATCGATTTTAGAAAAAATTTTTTGATTTATTAAATACTAGATTTAATGCTATATTTAATGAGTAGAAAATTTGCCTGTTTAAGTTTTTATAAAATTCAACCCTTATTGAAAAACTAAAGCTATGCTATTTTAAGCGCGACAAAAAGATAGGGACAAGTCTTGTAACTAAGTTCTCATAGAAGCGAAAAATCTACAAAATTTATTGTAAGCATATTGATCGATAATAAGAAGAAATAAAAGAGAACTAGGTCCATATCTGATTTCGTTGTCGAGATCTAGATACCCCAAAAATCAACGTAAAATAGGGTTTTTCGACTTCGAAATTTTTCTCGGACCCCTTATTGTTTGTTTCAAATTTTCATTTTAGGCTTATTCGATAGATCTTTAATTGTGCTATAAACGTGACAAATTTCATTTCTTAAAAAAATTTCACTCCCGAGATAAAGGACGACGATTCTTCAAAACGCCATTTTTGTGGGAATTTATGGGGTGTTTGTTGCTTTTTGTAACATTCGCCTCTGCAACTAACGAAGTATTTTTTTCTGAAAAATGAAATTTGGCTAGTTTATAGCAAATTTCAAGAGCTATCGAATAGGCTCAAAATAAAAATTTTAAAAAATCCATAAGGGGTCGAAAATATTTTTTGAAGTTGCTTACCCCTGTTTTACGTTGATTTTTGGGGTATAGAGATCTCGACATTGAAAACAGATACGGGCCTAGTTCCTTTTTATTTTATCTTAGTAACGATCATTATGTTTGCACGAATTTTTTTAAATTTATTGGTTGGGTGACTACTTAGTTACAAGACTTGTCCCTATCTTTTTGTCGGGCTAAAATTTGCAGTACTTTTTTATTTAAATTATTTCAGTATATCAAAAAATAGTAATCCGCCAGATCTTATACTTATTAAATAGAGCATTAAATGGCGTATTTAATCAAACAAAAAGTTTTTCCTGAAATCGATTTTTAGCTGAGAAAATAGGTGATTTTCATTTTACATGCGTTTGTCCCTATCTTTTTGTCGACTACTGTATATTTGTTAAAATATTTTTAAATTCTTTTAAAATTTTTAAAATTTATTTTGCAAGTAGGAAAAGGAATACATACGGTATTAAGAAGGAAAAATCCTGAAAACGGAAAATGAGGGGGTGCACTTCTCCCAGCGCAAAAAATGCAAGAAAAGGAAAGAAAAGAGCAGATTCTCTTTGCGGACAGGTAGACAGCCAACTGGACATTTGCCCCTTAGTTCTGTTCACAATCGTTTAATTTTTCCCTTTAACAGCTCAAATGCGTTTATTTTTCTCTATAAAAACCGCCACGGGGAAATATTAACCGGACGTAAATAACCTTAATTTAAATAATAAAGTATTAAGAGTGTTTGATACAATAAAGGGTTTTTAATTCCAAAGACCTTTATTTTATAAGTGCTCTGTACATTGTTAAAAGGTTCCAAAAAATTTTCCAAATTCCAAAAAATTTTGCGACTATCGTTCAGAAAAAGCTTGCAAGCCTTAGAAAACCTCAAACTTTCTAATCAAAGCTGTTTCAAACAGAAAAAAAATCCTCGAAAATAAAAAATACCACCAAAAAGGCAAAATTAAAAGAAAACTCCTACAAAATCAAAATTTCGAAACAGCTCTGTTTCTAACGAAAAAACTTTCAATCTGAAGATATTGGAATGCAAAATTTTAGAAAGAAAATTAATTTACATCCACCAAATCAAAATCATCATCTTGATAAGCAGCAGCCCCGACAGCTTCCAAAATAGAGAAAAACATTGCCCAGTGTTCAGCACTATGTACATTTGCTGCATTTGCTCTTAACAATTGTTGAAGACCATTTCCAATTTGTTGTGAGAATAAAAGTAAATCAGAAGGTCTTAATTCTAGAATTTTTCGTCCCATAAATTGAAGAACATCGTCAGCACAGCAATTAGTTTTGTGTTGAATAGTTTGGGAGGAAGCTGTATAAATGAATAAAAATGAAGAGCTGACTAGGGGAAGTTGATAGCCTAGAGCAGTCATTGAACACACAACCTCCTGCTTCGGTTATTGCTAGGAACCTCCTCACCTCCTCTTAAAACCTCAACACCTCCTTTAAACTCCTCACCCCCTCTTAGAACGTCCTCACCTCCTCTTTGAACCTCCTCACCTCCTCTAGGAACCTCCTCACCTCCTCTTAATCTCCTCACCTCCTCTTAAAGGTGCTCTACCGACTAAACTACTGGGGGCGATCCTTTCTATTATAAAAAGCTTTCTATGTTCGTGCATGCTGTGGAAAAATTCATTGGATGGGAGATAGAATAGAACCAACATGGAATGAGCCCAGACCGAAGCACAACCGGGCACGCGGACATATCGGGACGAACATATCAGGATATTTCAATGTAACAATAGTTACCCTACTGATTTCAGGACCTACGGCCACTGGGTCTTGGATAGTATATTGTCCTATTGGGAATAGTTTTTATGTTTTAGAACAAACGTAAACACACAAGAAATTATTTTTGTCACCCCAATCCCGATATGTACGCACAACCGATCCAACCCGATGCTGGGTTATTTATTTTCATTGTTCTTTCTGCAAGTCCGGACTCAACACTCACCTTCACTTTTAATAGATAACCCACACCCAGTAAACTCTTTTAATACTAGACAGGTGGATCTCACTCCCTTTTCCTTACATAACCAGAAATTCATTATAAATTCCTATGCCCGTTCAAAAATCCTACATCTATCAACTAAAAAAGATGATTACCGCAAATATCCTAATATAAGTCATGGGATTATATTTTTCAATACCCCCATCGGGTTGGCTTATAATAGGGCATGGGCTTCTATTAGGATACTTACGGTATTTAATCTCATTAAACAGTCTACCATTTTCTTGTTGTGTTTGTTCATCTTCCACAACAATAACCACACTTTTAGTCAACGCCGTCCGAGGCACAAAAGGTAATGGTTGTGGGGGTGGCGGAGTTTTTACATTTTGTTGTGGATGACCAAGACGGAAAAGATTTCTATTAGCAATTCGAATTAATGCAATAATTGATCTTTCAGTTATTTGTTTGTTTTGGGCAAAATCAGGACTAAGTAGCCATTGTAGATGATCACGGACTAAAGGCCAAACTTGTGCTAAACGATCGCGGTTTTCGAGAACAATGTTTATCTATAAAATAAATTGAAAGAAACCAAAAAATTACACAGAGGATGAGGCTGGCTTACAAAGGAAGGGTAGTTGGACAAAACCGTTTAATTTTGAAAAACCGTATACCGTTTATCTGAGACCCGTATACCGTTCCGTTTAATTTTGCCAAAAAACTCGTTTACCGTATACCGTTTAGTTCAACCCTATTAAGAACCCTCAACAGCTAAAATTTCTTAATAAGGAAAGAGTCAAATTTAATAAAGAAATTTGTCGGGTTTCCAGATTGAGAATAATTCATCTAGAATGTTCAAAAATCCTAGTAGCCTCAAGATGAGTTACGATACAGGAAATAGAGGTTAGAACATAATGGTATCAAAAACACATTTAAGTGTTAAACCTAGCTGTTAGATACCGGTTAATTTTTCCCTATGACAGCTCAAATAGGGAAAGGAAAAAATTAACCCGTCGCCAGCAATCCTAGGTCGGATTTTGAATAGCGACCGCATAAGTATTTGCACTAATATCTGTGGAACGTTAGCCTCTATCCCCACAAACAAACAAAAATTTCTTTCATTCCTCACCATCAATTCCAACAGAAAAATCAAAGCTTCTTCCTCATCCAAAGTTAATTTTATTGGGGAATATTGATAAATTAAATTTTGTTGTTGAATAGGTTGTTCTTCCCCAGATTTTTTATCTTCATTAATTGAAAGGGAGGATTGGGAAAGTAATTGAGGGGGAAGTGGGGGAGGGGGGGATTTGGAAGGGGAATTTAATGGAGATATTTTGTTTTCTGGAATTTGTTTTAAAATTTGTTGTTCTTCGGGTAATAAATCTGCGGCAGCTGAACTTAAGTCGACAATAGAATCATCGTCTAAAAAATAAATTTTAGTGGATTCTTATTAAAGAGGAATATTTAACAACTTAATAATGTAAGGTTTTTGGTCCTTGAAAAATTTTCGGGTACCCCTACCCATAATTAAAAATCCTGTTCTTCCGTTCGCTACCGACAACGTAGTAACGGAAACTATAAAAAGAAAAAATTTAGTCGAACACTATTTTAATTTTGAAAAAATATAGTAATAATCGGGTATAACTTTTTAATGGATGATTAGACCTGATCCATCGAGTTGGAAAAACCATACTAATTATCGAGGCCTTCGAATGATATAAAATTTATTTGTATAGGATCAAGCATTTTTAAACTCTCTCAGTTTGTGGTCGTATAACGGAAAAGTACCGAATAATCTCTAACAAATTTTCAGGGGAATTTGGGGATAAATAAAAAAAACTACTAATTAATATGCAAAATTAAAAAATAATTTAAATATTCAGATTTGAAATTAGTATAGCCGTCAGACCCAAAAAAAGATTATTAAATCAATCACTCAATTAACCCCCAAAATCACAAAAAAAAATTTAAAAAAGCACCTTGGCTTTGACTTCCCTGACTTTCATAATTTTGAACAATTTGTTCATTATTTAACTCAACTTGTTGTGTTTTTGATTGAATCGGGGCTATAGCAAAAGAACAATGGATGATATTATTTATTAATTCAGTAAATGCCGAAGTGGTTAAGTAACGACTGTCGGTTATTAATTGTTCTGGATGGCATTCAGAAATTAATGAAATTGCTGCCTGAAAATATTTTTGAGAATTTTTTTGTTAAAATTAAGTTAAAATTAAGGAAAGAAGGTCCAACCCCAATGCGAAAACCGGAAAAATCCGCAAAAAATGTCCGCAAAAAATTTGCGGACATTTTTTACTGAATTTCTGCCAGAAACCGATCCGGACAAAAAATATGTCATTCGAAAGAGCTCATCGAGCTGAGTCGAACGACACCAAAATTAGCTTTGAGACTCACCTACAGGCCGAGATATAGGTCCCCGAAAATCGAAAAACCATAGGGGGGAGTAAGCAAAATTTTGGGGTGAAAAATTCGATTTTTCGAATGATAGCTCATTCGAAAGAATTCCTCGAGCGGAGACAACGCTTCCCGATTTATTTTTGAATGGGAAAGAAAACAAAACTTTTCCTAAAAAGTTAAAGAGAAAAATCCGCAAAAAATGTCCGCAATTTTTTGCGGACATTTTTTGCACACTCCCCTCCCCCAAACAAACATTGCATAATTGTTGTTCTTCTTCATTTATTTGTTTTTTATTTAAATCAGTTTCACTAGAAATTGAAGAAACACTTAACCCCAACCAACTAAACAGTCCGCTCTCCTCTTTTTTAGGCAAAATCTGTGGACGTTTAAACTTTTCTTTAATTGTCACAATTCCTCTAATATCCACAAAATCTTCCAATTCCAATAATTTTGGTGGAAGTAAATTGGCACGTAATAAATATATTAAACAATCCAACACGTTTTTCCAACCCTTTAAAAAAATTTTTTTTGATTTTTTAAATTATTTTTCCAATTTTCGTGATTTTACGGAAAATCCGCAATTTTTTGCGGACAAAATTTACAGAAAAAATACAAAAACAAAAGTTGTATTTATAAAAGTATTTTATGGCTTTTCCTTCTATTCTATTTAAACTTACATAATTAGTTTTTTGAAAGTAAATTAATAAAAAATTTGGGTGGGGCCATCTCGAGGAATTCCAACTCACGGAACAGACAGTTCGCGAAACGACAATTCACTGAATTACCAACTAACGGAACTCACGAAATGACCAAAACGGAAGGAATATTTTAAAAATCAAAATATTTTTAGAAATCAGAATTTTTTTAAATTCTGTTTTTAAAATATTCCGTGTTTTGGTTAAATTGGTCGTTCCGTGATTTGGTAATTCAGTGACTTGTCCGTTCCGTGAGTTAGCCCGACACGGAAAAATTTATCCGATCTTTGGCCAAAATTCATTTTTATATTTTTGTGAATTTTAAGAAAATGGGAGCCAGGGTATCCAAAGCTAATTTAATTTTAAGGAAACTTAGACTGTTAGGCATCAAAAAATTCAACAACAAAAAACCTCTCTCAAATTATCCCCATAATTATGCACTAATTCAAACAAAGCTCTAGCTGCCATTTGTGCCTTTTTATTTCTCGCAAAATTAATCGACAAACTTTCCGAAGTCGAATCAGAAAAGGCTTAAAAAAGGAAAAATTTTCGAAAAAAATTCTTTTAAAATAAAAAATACAATTTAAATTAAGTGTAGAAATGGGTGCACTTGTAGCCCTAGGAGGGGGCGATAGTGGACTTGTTGCTGAACTCATAATTGTTTAGAATTATCTGTAAGAAATTTTTTTTAATTTTAAAAGTTTAATAGAAAAATAAAAAAAATTTTGAGAAACAAAAAAGAAAAAATAAACCGGAGCACCTCAGTTGAGTCCCGACTCAACTAAGTTCCGGACCCTATAACTTATGAAGGGATCGTCACTTCTTTTCGCTCTTGGTACTATTGGGTAGGGCATTAAATAGGCTACAAAATTCCAAAGAATTAAAATTACCGATCGACTGTTAAAAAAGTTATGATCGATAAAGTGCCGAAAAATCAGATTTTTTTTGAAAAAGCTAGTTTTTAGAGCATAACTTTTTTCCCACTCAAACGAAAATTTTGATATTTTGGTATATTGTAGCCTATTTAATGCTCTATCAAATGGTACCAAAAACATTAAAAATTATCAACCCGTTCTTGAGTTATAGAGCCGGGACTCAGTTGAACTGCTCCGTTGAAAAAAGAAAACTAAAATAAAAACAATGTGAGAGAGACAACTAAAAAATGAGAGAGACAGAGAAAAAGAAAAATTTTTGCAACGTTTACTCGAAAGGACGATTAAATGCTCCTTTTCAGTGCATTGGTTTTAATAAAAAAATTTCAAAAAGCGATCCAAACCAACGTTAGAATGGCATGCTCGCAAGTGCTGTCTGAACACTGTGACCAAGCGGCAGGTTTTGTCTGCTCCCTTTCGGGCCTGAACCGTTGCCCTGCTCTTTAAACAACCAGGAGCACCAACGTTCCCGCTAGCGCCCCTTGTTGACTTGGCCCTTGCTCTAGACACTCGCTCTGTGCACACCCGTCAATTGGTGCTTTTGCCTCCTAGAAACTGGATCACAAGCGCCCGCCACGACGCTCGGCGAAAGCGAATTAAATTTTATCGTTTATATACTGACACTGAGCATAAAATTTGTTAAAGTCGAGGGTCATTAGAGTATTACGCTTAATAAAATTATACAGGGTGCTTTTCCGCCACTTTTGTTTTTCCATAACTTTCTTCTAGGTCGATGAAAATTGCTAATTCTTTTTTTATTTTATTCCCAACACTCCAAGCAAATTTTTGGTACGAAATAATAGAAATTTGGTTCAAAGACAATAAAGATATACCCGTCTGAAGATGCCAAAGTTAACTTTACCATAACTTCGTTCAAAGTAGAGTAAGTACGAGTCGCGCGAGTTCGAACTCGATCGCTCGGGTTTTTTGCGTCATTACTCCTCTTTGGATTAATTAATGGGGGGGGGGGGAGGGGGTAATCATTTGAGTTTAATACTTTGAGGAAAAAGGAGTGGGGGTACGAACCCAAGAATTACCGAAAATAGGCCCTCTTATTACCAAAAAATCTCAACGGGGTTTAATATATCCCGGTAAATGTCCAGCTCGCTATCTACCTGTTCCGCAAAGAGAATGCTCACTTTTCCTTCCCATTTTGCATTTTTTACGTGCTCGCCCATTTTTCCTACTTACTGATACAGTATACCTTTTCATTTGGAAAAGGGAGAAAAATGATGTTAAGTGCCAACATATTTCCGGTTATTCTTTAGTGGACAGGTAGATAGCGAGCTGGACATTTACCATATATCCCTCTAACTCCACTTTATCGCTTCAATTCTCAGTACCTAAATCGCTGTTATCCTTAATATTTATTACGTAAGAAAAAAATAAATTTAAAAAAACAAAAGAAAAAAGAACATATATTTTACCGTATAACCTGTATTAATTGCCCTCCCTCAAATAATTACCCCACTTCCATTAATTACCCCATCCAGCGATGGATTGAAACAATAATCACCACCAACAAATGCCCTAAAACGCGTTCAAATTTAAAACCTCATATAATTACCCTACTAAGGTCGAAACAATAATTACCCAGGGTAGTTATTAAAGGATATACGGTATTTTTAAAAATCATTCATTTTTAATCAGTTTTATTCAAAAAATTTTCAAAAAAGTCTGACAATTTATAGCAAGTTGCACCCATTGAATAATGCTTAATTTGACGAGAAAGCATTAACCTAAGTGCACATTCATTTTCAATACTACGATTAATTAGTCGGCTACATTTAGCCAATCTTTGAGCCCCTTCAATTAAACCTAATCTTCGTTGATTATATCGAAGTAAAATATTTGTATATCTATTGAATTCGTCAAAAAGCAATTCTTTTCCTTCAACAGACAAGTCTTTAGCATCTTTTTATGAAAAAATTTAGGTTTATTTAAATTAAGTTTTAAAAAAAAGTCGAAGTGCCTATAGAAAGAGTGCTAAATGTCCAGTTGGCAGTCTACATGTCCGCAAAGACCGCCAACTGAAGACCGCCAACTGGACATTTACCGAAAGAGTTTGCAAAAGTTTAGCCACCGTGCAGGATTCGAACCTGAGACCACCTGACAGTTGTTGCTAAGCGCTTTCACTCACCATATGCAGGAGCTCTACCTCTGAGTTACCGGGGCATCGACTAATGCTTTCTCTTTTTCCTTTTTAGATCGTTTAACCTCCGCCTAAGCGTTTTAAAGGTGAATCAACATTACACTATTAAATACCAGTGCTGTCCGAAATTGCGTATGTGGATTGCCGTAAATGAATGAGTTTTTTTGAATTGCAATATTTCTTAATATAACGCACCAAAAACGGAGGAAATCCGGACTATTAACATTCGAAATTTTCAAAATTTTCGCTTGCAGAGCTAAATCTGTGTTTTAAACTTAAAGGGAATTTTAAAGAATTTAGCGTGATATATTGGGATCAAGAATGTTTTAGTTAGATATCGTGGATGCGACGGTTAAAAGAATAGCGGATTTTTACTGTGATTATTGTGGATTTGGAGTGACTGGGATCCCGATCTCCTCAACTCTAATATAAGATATCTATCCAAAATTTTAAGTAACATTTATCCAAATAATAAGGAGGTCAATAAAAACCTACCGTATATGCTGAAATAATTACCCTGGTTTTTTCCATCTCCCGCTGAAGGTCGTAATTATTTGAGAGAGAGAGAGAACTCTCTCTCTCTCTCTTGATTTCAGCATATACGGTATTCGCCTTGACAAATTAAAATTTTTACTTGATTTTGTAAAAATAATAGCTATTAACAAAGCAAATTCAATTTTTGTTAATGCAGCACGTTTAAAATGGGCAACAGATTTTGTAAATGAGTAATCTGACCATTTAATCATTCTAAAAATAAAAAAATGTTTGTCTTATCTTCTCAATCAAAAATTTTTCTTGAAAAATTTTTTTTGAATTTTCTTAATAAAAATTTATTTACTTATCATCATCATGTAAAAATACATTATTTCTCATAAAACCGAGAGCAGGCATAACACAATCTTTACGTTTCCAAGTTTCAGAACCTAATTCCCAAGCTAAGTATGAGCTTGTAAATGATGTAAACAAATAAGAAATCTGTCTTAGATGTGCGATCTATTTTATAAAAAAATAAAAATAATTTTTGTTTAAATTAGAGACCTGGGGCCTATTTCTACCCTCCACAGATTCTGCAGATAGAATTCTGTGCACAGACCACAGAATTTCTATTTCTGCACTTCCACAGATTCTGCGGAAAAGGGGTCCGCAGATTCTGCATAAACACACACAGATTCTGTGGAAACATTCACAAATTCCACTGTTAACTCTCTTGGGCATTCTGCTTTGCATGTCATACCAAGATTTTGAATCATTCAAGTGTAACACAATACCTGATCAGATAAAATCAATTTTTCAAAAACAGGTAAAGATTTAGCTATATTAACACACAAAAGTCTGTCAACAAGAATACATTTTTGACATCTACTATTAAATATTCCTTCATTTTCTACTGATGATTCCCAAAGTTTTAATTCATCAAAAGGTATTGGACTTGGATTTGGCTTTAAATAGGATTGCTTTTAATAAAAAATAAATTAGAATTTACCGAAAAAGTATCAACTAAACGAAAAATATTAAAATTAGATAAAATTATTTCTTCAAACAAAATCGGGCCTTTAAGGAATATATCATCCAAATCATTAAATGCATGCATAATACGTTTTTTGGCTTCAATAATTGGTAAAATTAAGCTTATTTGCTGTTGATCTTTGATGGATATGTCAACAGTTGGGGGATTTTGTATCTTAAAAAAGATAGAATTACTGTATTTCTTCTAATAGTGCGACCTGTCGGTTTATTTTTCAGCCTTCCTCTAGGGGGTCGGTTTATTAGAAGGGGTCGGTCTATTTGAGACAGTCGCTCTATTAGAAGAAATACGGGTACTTTATGGATATATCACCCCCCCTCCTATTTTGAGTCTCAGAGTTTTCTCTATGAATAGAAAATGGTCAGAGATTATTTTCTTCTCCATGTCAATCATTTTTTTACTCCAAGCAAAATAAGTGGAATGATAGTACAAAAATTCAAAAAAATGTGAAAAAGCAATAAAAAAAGCAAAATAAGTGAAAAGAGGTAGTATTTAATACGCAAGTACATTTGAATTAAAATCAGTTTTATGTCAGATATTTAATCTTTTCCTTTTTTTCCAAATATTTATAGAAAAATGAACTACGATCAGTTAATTTCCCAAATTAACGATCTTGGAGAAGGAGACAGAGACCTAGGTTGTATCCGTTATTTTCAGCAGCGTGGAATTATCCATCAAGAAAGAATCTGTGGTAAATGTGGAAACGAAATGAGGATTTCTACAGCTCGCGCCAACTACGTATGGCGGTGTAAATTTAAACGATGCAAAGCAACAAAGGGTAAAAAAATGATTGACATGAAGAAGAAAATAATCTCTGACCATTTTCTATTCATAGAGAAAACTCTGAGACTCAAAATAGGAGGGGGGGGGTGATATATCCATAAAGTACCGAAATACGGTATGTATAATTCCTGTTTTGCTAGTATAAGCGCCCTAGTCTTTGTTCCTTCAGGTATTCAACATATTGCAGGAAGTATGGAAAATTTTAAAATTAGTTTTATAAATCTCTAAATGTGATTGTTGGATGTTTTTCTGATGATTTCGATAAT